AGGCAATATGTAAATGAGTAAGTGTGGATGTTTTCCAATAAAACTTTATTTACAGAAACAGGCTGCCTGCCTGATTGGGCCCACAGGCCGTATTTGCCAATCCCAATAAAAGTCATGGAAAGATTTTGAACTTCATTCTAAGAGCAGTCTGGAGCCTAAGAGCGCTTTTCGCACTGGGTGAGGGGATTTTACATCGAAAATTGCCCTGGAAGATCTAACCAGGGCAGCCATGTTTCTTCTGTCCTATTTGCAGATCCTTGAGCCCTTCTGTGTGCACAAAGAGGTTTGGGCTAAGTCTTGAGGTTCTCTGATGCATAGATGGTCTCAGAAGCAGAGGTCACTGCACTGCTGTCCATTTTCCCATCCCCTTCTTCTTCCCCACACCAGCTCTCAGCACACGTCTGGACATACATTAGGGCTCCAGAAATGCTGGTTCTCATTTTTGGCCTCGGGGCAGAGTGGAACAGTCCTCTGGTCAACAGCCTGGGGTTGAAATCAGAGAGGCCTGGGGCCAAGTCTCTGTCCCTTCTTTTGGCCATGAGTGACTGTGAACTTCACCTTCCTGGTGCTCTGTCTCTTCTAGATAAGGAGGATGGTTACATATGTGAACTCATGAAATAAAGGGATTCTGAGTTGCCCTGGGTACAAATGAAAGGCATAGTAAGAAGGATGTTGATTTTTCTTTTTTCTTTCTTTCTTTTTTTTTTTGAGACAGAGTTTTACTCTGTTACCCTGGGTAGAGTGCCACAGCATCATAACTCACGGCAATCTCAAACTCTTGGGCTCAAGTGATCCTCCTGCCTCAGCCTCCCTAGTAGCTAGGACTACAAGTGCCCACTACAAGGCTTGACTAGTTTTCCTTTTCTTTTCTTTTCTTTTCTTTTTTTTTTTTTTTTGACAAAGCCTCAAGCTATCCCCCTGGGTAGAGTGCGGTGGCATCACAGCTCACAGCAACCTCCAACTCCTGGGCTCAAGTGAGTCTCCTGCCTCAGCCTCCCAAGTAGCTGGGACCACAGGTGCCCGCCACAGTGCCCAGCTATTTTTTGGTTGCAGCCGTCATTATTGTTTTTGGCGGGCCCAGGCTGGATTCGAACCCACCACCTTAGGTGTATGTGGCTGGCGCCTTAGCCTCTTGAGCCACAGGTGCCAAGTCTAGTTTTTCTATTTTTAGTACGGATGGCGTCTCACTCTTACTCAGGCTAGTCTCGAACTCCTGAGTTCAAGCAATCCCCCCACCTCGGCCTCCCATAGTGCTAGGATTACAGGCTTGAGCCACCGCTCCCAGCCTAGAAGGTATTATTGAGGTAAGAGTCATTTTTCTTGTTGAACCCCAGAGGCAGGAAGCTTGGTCATGCACTGGGTAGCCAGGACTTTGCTCCAGCAAGCGAGGTGCAGAGCCAGGCACTGGGCTCCTAGCTACAGAGGAAGTAGCTCTGCTGAGGAGGCCTTGGCTCATGAATATTAAGGTCCTCTTGAAGATGTGGATGACTTGTCCCACCTCTTGGGCTGAAAATAACTGCCCAACATCGGGGTAATTACATGGCTTGGGCTCTTGCACAGCACAGAGAGCACCACGATAATTACTGTGCACAAACACTGCTTTTGGCAGCTGATGTTTGTTTTCTGCCTCATAGAGCGTCTCTTGGACCAAAAGCTTATTCTCCCTCCCACCCAGGGGACTTGAACCCTTGCCTCGTGTGAGCAGAACTTTCCAGGAAACCTACCTCAAACAGGGACTTAGTGACCATTTCTCTTCTTCCCAAGGCCATCTGTCAGGCTCAGGGCACCCCCATTGGCCTTAGGTCAGGCGGACCTTGGTAATCAGAGGGTTTGCATAATCAGTTGCAGCCCTGTAGGAGACACCTGTGAGCAGGGCTGCGGTACAGACATGAGTCTTATGGAGCCAGTGTTGGAGGGGGTCCCCTTTGCCCAGAGATAGACAGGCTGTGTTCTTGGACTGAACCAGGGCACTGCCAGTTAGGACAAAGTCCTGGAGAAGTTCTTAAGGATTTACTGTGTGCCAGACCTTAGGGATAGAGCTCTAAATATCAGGTCATGGTCTTGCCATCTTGGGGATTAGCACCCAGTGGGCAGACAGACCCAAAGCCCATAATTACCCAAACCATTATGTAATTGTCTAGTTATAAGGCTATGACAAATGTAGAGGAGCTATAGGTTTGCAAAATACAGGGAGTCTAGAGAATTTGAGCTGAGACCTAAAGGATGAAGAGCAAGGTAGGTGCATGTGCATGCATGTCTATTAGAGATGAGTGTGTGGATGATGGTAGATAGATGGATGGCTGCAAAGATGGATAAATGATAGTGGATGGATGGATGGGTTGATGGATGGATGGATGGATAGGTTGATAGATGGATGGATACATATATGATGGAGATGGATGGATGGATGATGGTGAATGCATGCATGCATGGTGGAGGATGAATGGATGAATGGATGGATGATGGTGGATGGGCAGATGCATACAATGGATGGATGGATGGGTATGTGGATGCAGGTGGATTTGTGCATGTCTGGTGGAGGATGGTTGGATGGTGATTGTGGTGGATAGATGCCTGGGTGGATGCATGCACTGTGGAGGATGGATGGATAGATGATGATAGATGGATGTGTGCCTACATGTTTGGATGCTTGCATAGTGGTTGATGGCTAAATGGATGGATGATTGGGTCTTCCAGGCAATGGGAACAGGCTATGCAGAGGCTTAGAAGGCCAGAGGAAGTGTGGTGACCCTGAATCTAATGAAAGACTGTTTCAGAAAGTGTTTGTGGTTTAAGAAGTGAGACTGGAGAGGTAGGCATGTGGGATCACTGTGTACAGCGGAGTAAATTGTGCACTGCGCAGCTCCAGAGGCTTCCAATCACATAAACCACAATGTGAATGGTGCCCCTAGAATGGTGCAAGATAGTGGGCTGCAGGCAGGGATCATAGACCTTATATACCATATTCCCCAAGCAGTGGGGAGCCATGGAAAGGTATTAGCAATTTGTGGTGAGATAATTTCCATTTACGCTGCCCCCAAACAACACTATTCAGTAGAACTTCCTGTGAAGGTGGAAATGTTCTATTTCTGCCATTTCCTATGTGGTAGCCACATGTGGCTACGAACACTTGAAATTGAGCACAGAGTGACTGAGAAACTGAATTCTACACTTGGTCTTAGCCAAAAGGCAAGATGCGATGAGAGAAACTGAATTCTGAATGTTTATTAATATAAATTCATATAGCCACCAGAGTCCAGATGTAGCCAATGGCTCCCTGCTGGACAGTGGAGCTGCAAAGGATCTAGCCCTTACAGGACCCAGAAGTGGGTCCTGTCCCACTTCTCCCCTGTCAGCAGTGCATCAAGGCAGGTCTGCTGGAGATGTCACACTTTGATGGACATAGGCCACAGCCTCCCCTTCACACAGGGACTCTGTCCAGGGTGTAGTGGGGGCTGTGGTCCAGCAGCTGGGCCTAGTGAGGGAGGAGCTGCCCCACCTGCTGCTCCTGAGGCCTCCTGGATGTCCCACATCTTGCCTACCTGTGTCTTCTCCCACCCTTCCCCGCTCACTTCTAGTTTGCTGCCCCATCAGAGGCAAAGCAATGAGGAAACCACCTCAGCCCTGCTCAGTTGCATGAACCAGTATGGAGGTAGTATCCACAGTGAGCATTGGAGGATGTGACTTTGGCTCATGTTTGGGAGGGAGGCAGACCTTGCTGGGGTGAGAGTGGGCTAGAGGGACCAGGGCCAGCCTGTATCTCCCCTTTGTAGGCCCTCCTCCCCCCCCCCCAGCCCCAGCCTCATCAGCACCGTGACACAAGCTGGCTTCACGTTTGTCCACTTGCCCCACAAACCTCTGGCCTAGAGGTGCCCTTGCTCGTTAATTGCATGGCCACCCTTGGGAAGCTGGATCCAGGGACAGCCTGGTCAGGCCCTGCAAGCAATCCCAGAGCCATGTGGACAGTAGAGTATGGCCCAGAGGGGGAAATGTGGGCTCCAGTGGACATACCCCACTGACCCCATGGACTCCTTGGTCCGGGGGAAGGCATTGCTGGAGGTTGGCCAGAGATCATGGGTCCTAGTTGCCAAGACCGAGAAAGGCCTACAGGGCTGGTGGGCCAGCTCCTCCCTTCTTCTTTTTGCACTTGAGTTTAGGGGAGAAATGGGGTCTTGGAGTAGGGGCAGAGGGAGAGAAAGAAGGAAGGTCACAATGATAAGGGGAGATAGTTGTCCTGACAGAGAAGGATCCCAGGCTATCACTGGAGTTCACTCCAGCCTCCTCACCCCCCTAGCCCCACCCACCATCTCTGCACACATGCACACCTCCCTGCATACCCATACACACACACAACTAGACAAAAGTCTAGGAATCAAGGAAGGTAGAAACCTCTGCTAACCCTGCTCTGCAAGGCTCAGTAGGAGTAAAGAAGGGGCATGTGACACTTACAGGTGAACATCTGGAGTAGGAACCTGCAGTATTAATAAAATAATTACAGCTGCCAGAGCAAAGGGTTCACCTTCCTACCACACACCAACCACTGACATAGCTCACTGCGATTATTCTCCTAACACCCCCTGAAAGGTAGGATTAACATCATCCCCATTTTACAGATGAAAAAACTGAGGCACAAAGAAGCAAGTGTCTTGACTGAGCTTGCACAGCTAGCAAGAATGATGCCCAGATCTGCACCCAGGCTGTAGGGCTCCAGAGTGTGTGCTGAGAATGCCTTCCATCTGGATGACAAATGTAAATTGCTGAGCTCAGTACTTGGCACACAGGAAGTGCTCAATAATTGTTAGCTCTTGTTATTATTGTCCATAACAAGATAGGCATTGCCATCTTCCTCTTGGAAATCCTACAAAGACCTACATTGCATGCCTCAGTTTCCTCGTCTGTAAAATGGAGACGGTGTGAGCACCTCCCTCAGACTATTTGTGTCAGGACCTTGGCCCCCACATACCTGCACACCTGCTCACTCCTGTCCCCTCCTATTGCAGTACGCTACTTCCTGAAGAACAAGGTCAGCCCTGATTTGTGCAACGAGGATGGACTCACAGCCCTGCACCAGGTAAGGTTGGGCTTGTGGGGTTACTGGGCTCTGTGCTCCCCAGCTGGACAGATGCCCCATTGCCCTGCACTTTCTTGCCCAGAACCCGCAGGGAGAGAGGGAGGAAGGGAGAGCCACAGCTGGCCCATCTGAAAGGCTCTGTCTGCTTGGGAGACGCATGTGTCTGTTACGAACATGCCCATAGAATACACACGCATGGCCCCGAGGACAGGCAGCCTTTGTTCACGGCATCCTGACTGCCCAGAAAAGCAAGTTTGTTTGGGGCTTAATAGTTTAAGAAGCCCGTTCATATCCACCAGGACATCTTATCCACCCCAGGCGAAAAAGGCAACTAAGAGGAGTTGTGTGACCTGCCTAAGGTCATGAGTCATTGAACCAGGGCCATGAACTGTGTGCTATCATAACACACAGCACACACTGTGTGCTGCCTCCCCACGGCAGACCTATGGGTTCAGTTCTCCCTGCCTGGGGACAAATTGGTCTGGCTGTCACCTCCCACTTGAGTGCTGCCACAACCTCTGAACTTGTCCCCAGCACTCAGTCCAGCCTTGCCTTGATTCCTCCTCCACACTGCAGCCACAGGGAGGCTAAAGTCAAAAATCTGTTCATGTTACATATAGCTCTGTTGGGGGTAAAGAACAAACTGTTTGCTACACTGTACAAGGCCCTGCGGGCCTGCCCCTGGCCAGTCTCCTGCTTCCTCCCTCTCTGGGCTCCAGCCACCCTGCTTTCCAGGACCTTGTCCTCCCCACAGCACTTCCTACAGCACTTGGGGCATCCCCTGTTAGCTCCAGTCCACAGCAAGAGCCTGACAGCTGGCCTTCGTCTTTGAATACCCTCTTCCTTGTGATTAAGTCATTTTAGCCATTAATGTGGTCATTTGATGTTGACCCCTTCCCCTGCTCAGACTCTGAGCTGCCCCAGTGTACAGCCCGTGTCTCTCACCTATGCTGGCAAACACTAGGTGCTCAATATGTGCTCAAATTAGTGAATGAATGCGCTGAAGCCTCCCTGTGTCCAGGTCCAAATTTCTGAGCAGATGGACATGAGAGCAGCCTGGGCTGGTGAGGGCCTCTCCCCCTCCATACAAGGACAGGGAGGGGTGAACAGAGATGGGCCATGCCCTTCCCATAAGCCTCCAAGGCAGGCCCCTGCCCCAGCCATGCAGCCCACCTGCTTCCTCTGTATCCTATCAGCTTCTAATATCCCACGGGGCCTTAGGCACCCACTATGAGGCTGCTGCCTCAGTATCTCCCCTGGATCCTGCCCAAGGAAGGTGCCAAACTCCAGCACCATTAACTGTAGGGTACCCGAGACTCCCCCAGAGAGCAGAGAACAGGTAGGTGCTTTAGCTTGCCCTGGAATGGAGACCTGAATGGCAATTCCCAAGCCTGGCAGCACCCACCAGCCCTGGATGGAGGATAAATGTATGGGCTACTTCCTACTGCATGAAGAAAAAGTGAGGCCACCATGGTAAAGAGTTAGACCTGAGCCCTGGAGCTGCCACTCACTAGCTATGGACTTTGGGCAAGTTACTTAAACTCTCTGTGCCTCATCTCTAAAAGAAGAACAAGTCCCCAGCTCACTGGTTGTTGTAAAGATTCAATGAATACACATAAAACCCTTCAAGTAACACTTGATTGTGGATAAATATTAGCTATTATTGCTTCGGTGCCTGTGCTCAGTGGTTAGGGCACCAGCCATATACACCAACTGGTGGGTTCACAACTGGCCTGGGCCAGCTAAACAATAATGACAACTGCACCAAAAAAATAGATGGGCATTGTGGTGGGCGCCTGTGGTCCCAGCTACTTGGGAGGTTGAGGCAAGAGAATTGCTTAAACCCAAGAGTTTGAGGTTGCTGTGAACTGTGATGCCACAGCACTCTACCATGGTGACAGAGCGAGACTCTGTCTCAAAATAAGTAAATAAATAAATATTAGCTATTATTAAAATTCATCATGTGAGCCCTTCTCTCCAAAGCACTTTACTTGTGTCTTTCATTTTGATCCTCACAACAACCCTTTGAAGTCTTGGCATCCCCATTTTATGACTCAGGAAACTGAGCCTCCAGCACAGCCATATTCGATAGAACTTTCTATGGGGACAGAAGTGTTCTGTGCATCTGCCCTCTCTGGCAGAGTAGCCCCTGGGCCCATGTAGGTGGGAAGCACGGGAAGGGTGGCTCATGTGACTGAGGAACTAGGTTTTGCATTTTATTTAATTTTAGTGAATTTAAATAAAGAGTGGCTGCTGTATTATGCAGTGCAGCTCAGGGAGGTGACATCTGTCCAAGGTCGAACAGTGAACGAGCTGTGGGGCCAGGATTTGAAACAAGGTGGCCTAAACTGTTCGGTGGACACAGTGGTTTGTGGTGCTTGGGCTCTGAGCTCCAGGCTGCAGTAAACTCTCATGTGGCACCCTCCCTTTGGCCTGGGCATCCTGCCACATAATTCCTCCCCTTTCTTCCTATGGGTCACCTTGCTTCCTCAGGACCAGTTTCTCTTCTGGGTTCCTGGGCCCAGGGGTGCACAGTCAGTGAAGTGGAAACTTGCTGCATGAAACTGTGTCCCCTGATCACTCCACTCACCTTGGGCCCCACTTTGAGAGCCCTCTCAGGGTCTCAGGGGGGTGTCCACTCCCACTGACCTGTGGGCTTCCATTCATTCAGCAAATACTTCTGGCACACAAACTCTAGGTACTCTGCAAGGGACAGAGCCCCAGAAGTGAGTTAGGCCAGGGGCCCTGCTCTCACAGTTTCAGTGTGATGTGACCACAGACACATAAATAACAAGAGAGCACTGCGGTGTGGTTGGCTCTCACACAGACATAGCAGAGGGTCTCTATGACAGCTGATGACCTGACTCAAAGGGGAACTGAAAAGGCTTCTAAGAGGAAAGGATATCTGAGCTGGGTCTTGAAGGACAAGTAGGAGCTCGCTAGATAGAAAAGCATAAGGAAAAACATTCAAAGCAGAGGGAACAGCAAGTACAGAGCCATGAGAAAAGGGCTCCACATTTCAAGGTGGGAGTCTGGAAGGTTCAGGGTGGCACAGTTAGGGTGCAGGGAACCTCAGGGAGACTGGCAGGAGGCAAGATTGGGAAGGCTGAGGAAGGGCTTTGGAGTCAGACTGCCTGGATTTTAACCCTTGTCTGTAGATGGGTTTTAATCTTGGCTTTTAATCCATCTCTGACTTACTCTGTGTGACCTTGTACAGACTGACCTCTTTGAGCCAGTGTCCTCATCTATAAAATGGGGCTAATAGGATCCTCAATAGGCTTGTTCTGAGGATTAAAATGAGGCAATTCATGGCCAGAGCTTAGCTAGGTGCTTGAGTCTACTAAGTCTTCAAAGTCCATTAGCTGCTCGTATTGATGATGTGGCATGACGCGCTGTTCCTGTTGTTGCTGGGGCTGTTGTTATTGTGTCCTCTGCTCCATGCAACACAGGAGACTGGGGCACACTCAGAAGAGCTTCCTATGCCTGGCAAAGTGTAGGTTTTCTTCTCTTGGCAACAAGGAGCCTTTATGTGAACCAGAGAGCAACGCGATTAAATTAAGGAGGGCGCCCTCTCTGGTTTAGGGTGTCTGGAAGGGGAGCTGAAGGAGGCAGGGAGAGAGGATGAAAGCTCACCTAGGGCAGTGGGAACAGGGACAGCAATCTGGAGACGGGATTCATGCCCGTGATGGATTGGATGTGGGAAGTGAGGAGGCAGGAGGAGGCAGCCGACTGCCAGGTGCCATTTGCTACCTTGGTGAATGCAGGGGAGGAGACCTGCCCACCCTACGTGGTACCATCCTCGCCAAGGGCACTGCTCAGCCCGACGCAGCCCTTGCTCAGGCCAGGTCTCTGGGAGCCGACTAGTCTAGCCCCTGGCCATCTTCCTAAGACACTGCAATTCTGGGGGCACAATACCTTCGCCCTTCGACCTGAGGCTCCCACCCCACCCCGTGCTTTCTGCAGTGTCTCAGGATGATATCTCTGACTGTCTTGTCCCTGACCCCAGGAGCTCCCCAGGACTCACCTCCCGGCGGCACCCTGGGGACCCTTGCATTCACGCTGCCTGGCTCCAGTGCCTTTGGCGCCCTCTGCCGGTCACTCCGTGAAGCAGTATGATCCTCCCGCCCACCTGAGTAGCGCCGGCCCCTGAGGGTCACATCTTTCCCTGCTTTTCCTGCTCAGAGGGATGCCCTCGGTCCCAGCCACACCTAGACACGCTGGCGCAGAAACAACCTGGGTCTCTGGCACCATATGTGCAAACCGCTTTTCCCCCGCACGTCCTGGCGCTGAACCCTGGCCCCGCGGTGGATGGGGGCGGGACTGTGCTACCGCCCCGTCCCACACTCGGACCCACTCCCACCTGGGGCTGGGGCTCACACAGGTGCCCCCCGGCTCTTCCTGCTGGCATCTGGCCACCTCTCCCCATCCTCATGGTCACTCCTGGAGGCCAGCTCCCGGATTCCCTTCCCCACGTGCACTCATGCAAACACACACGCAATCTGTTCTCCACGTGCAGAGGACGAGTTGATTTAAAAAAAAAAAAAAAGAAAGAAAGAAAAACACGCCTGATTTAAAAAGAAAAAAACAACCACCAAGCCTGATAGTCCCTTCAGAGTATAACTCAACGTCTCCACTGCTGAGGACCTGTGCCCTTACTGGTTCTGCTGTGTGCCCTGCTGGTTTCCCCAGAAGCCGCCTCCAGGGAGCAGACTCATCTTGCAGTTGTGAGGCGACCCGTCTTCCTCCCCCATTCACACCTCTTTCTCTTCGTGTTCTAGCTTGAGGCTCCTCTGTCCCCTTGGGATTTTTGCTTCCTGTCCCTGGAGTTTGGGGGCTCTAGAGGAGCCCTGTGTTCCCTCTAGGGGGCCTACCCACATGTGGTGACTGCTCTGGACAGGCAGGAACACACACATGGGACTGTATCAGGCCCCCCTATAACCCTCATGTGGAGCTGGATTCTTTTGTGGGGGGTCTTGGTCACTCGTGGGCTTCCCCAGGATCTCAGGTCCTGGGTCAGAAGTTCCTAAGTCAGAGGTTTCAAGCTATGATGTAGGGCCAAACCTTGGGGCCACTGCTGGGAAGGGGAACACTCCCCCAACATACACCCCTAACTCATCCCGAACAATCCGCTTGGATTTATTATTCATCTAAGAGTTCTCCACACAAGTTTGTTTGAGGAACGCCTTCGGGGATTAAAAACAAAGTTTTAAAACCTCATTCAAAATCTTGTCCCATTCCACTAACACCAAGCATTCTATAGTTGACAGAGTGGTGTGTACTTTTACTTGTTTTAAAAAAAAAAATTTTTTTTTTTTACTTTTTTTTTTGAGACAGAGTCTCACTTTGTTGCCCTGGGTAGAGTGCTATGGTGTCACAGCTCCCAGCAACCTCAAACTCTTGGACTTAAGTGATTCCCTTGCCTCAGCCTCCCAAGTAGCTGACACTACAGGCGCCCACCACAATGCCCAGCTAGTTTTAGAGACGAGTGTCTTGCTCTGGGTCAGGCCAGTCTCAAACCAGTGAGCTCAGGCAATCCACCTGCCTTGGCCTCCCGAGTGCCAGGATTACAGGCATGAGCTACAGCGCCTGGCCTTCTACCTTTATATTTTTATCCCATAAATTATTAACTTCATTTTTACTCACAAGGAAAGTGAGGCTCAGAGAAGTTAAGTGGATTTCCCAAGGTCAGAGGCAATATTGACAGCACGTAAGCATTGGAGCTGGGCTCAAACTCAGGTAGTCTGGCTCCGCTGCCCTTGTGGCTGCTTTCAGGCACATGCCAAGTCCCCAACAGGCCCTGGGGCCTTGGCTGGAGCTAACTCTGCCTGTGTGTCCCTCCCAGTGTTGTATCGACAACTTTGAGGAAATTGTCAAGCTGCTCCTTTCCCATGGTGCGAATGTGAATGCCAAGGACAACGAGCTGTGGACACCCCTGCATGCTGCGGCCACCTGTGGCCACATCAACCTGGTGAAGATCCTCGTTCAGTAGTACGTGCCCCTCTGTTCCCCAGAACAGCCTCCCCCCCTTGTCTTTTTTATCCAGTTGATTTCCTCTTTCACTCTCCTCCCTCCCCTCCCTCTCTTCCCCTCTGGCACTGGGCACACAGGGATGCAGAAGTCCCTGGAAGCCCGGCAGAATGCCAGGTGATCTTAATACCAGAGCTGAGACAGAGCAAGGCCAGTGAGTGTGAGGGTCTGAGGGTAAGGCGTCAGAAGGAGTGGCTGAGAGCGGGTGGCCATTGTACTGGTCTTTGTAGAGCAGCAAGAGCCCATCAGTGGCTTCCAGGGATGGAGATGATAGTACTGCTGTCCCAGCTCAGGGAGATGGGTTAGCTTGCTGCGGGGCATGCAGGAGCTCAGAAAGGTCACAGGTGGGTGGCTGTTAGGACAAAGGCCTGGGTGGAGGCCCCACATACCTCCACCTTTGATGAGAAGCTACCAGGAGCATCAGGTGGCCACAGCTTGATCAGATACGGTGCCAAGAGGACAGAGACAATGGTGCCAGCTTGGTTCAGTCCCCAGTGCTGATCTGTGCTAGTGTCACCTGGGTTTAAAATACACATTCCTGAACTCTCACCCCCAGAGACTCTGTTTCAGGAGGGCTGGAGTAAAGCTCAAGATGCTGTTTTATTTCAGTGGTCCCCTGATGACTCCTCTGCAGGACATCCTAGAGCCATACCTGGGGACCCCTGGCCCAAAGGGCAAATTCCGCTAGGGAGCCCCAAGGCTCTCTTCTGTTCCTGTCCTGGTCAGCCTATTGGGTAGGGACTTGGATAAGAGTTGGAAGATGTGGCTCGGCGCCTATAGCTCAACCGGCTAAGGCGCCAGCCATGTACACCTAAGGTGGCGGGTTCGAATCCCCAGCCCGGACCCGCCAAACAACAATGACGGCTGCAACCAAAAAAAAAATAGCCGGGCGTTGTGGCGGGCGCCTGTGGTCCCAGCTACTTGGGAGGTGGAGGCAAGAGACTCGCTTGAGCCCAGGAGTTGGAGGTTGCTGTGAGCTGTAATGCCACGGCACTCTACCCAGGGGGACAGCTTGAGGCTCTGTCTCAAAAAAAAAAAAAAAAAGAGTTGGAAGATGTCTCTGCATATGGGAAAAGATGAAAATAGAACAGGGAGAAGGGCAAAGAGCTGACACATGAGAGACTGAGGTTTGTGTCTGGACGCTGCTACATCCTAACTGTGTGATCTTGAACCTGAGTCTTGGTTTCCCCTTGAGTGAGATAGGGCCAACCTGAGAGGACAGTTATGAGGATTAAACAAAATGATGTGTGTAAAGGGTCATATCAGGCTTAGCTCTCAGCAGGTGCCTGGTAAGTGGTGCTGCCACCATTCATATTATTTTTATTATTGTCACCAGGGTAGGCTCTAGTTAAATGCCTGTGAGCTGCTTCAACGGAGCAGGAGGCTAAGGGAGGTCTCCTGGGATCACTCTTCTGGGACTTTGGTTCCTTTCTGGGATCCTGATGATGCTGTGCTCATGGGCTATGTGGCGGGCAAAACTGGCATTACCTAGCTGGGGTGTACAGTAGGGTCGCAGGTGATAGGCCAGAGGGCAGAGGCAGCAGCCAACCCCAGCCACACCTGCCTGGCCCTCACCCTGGCCCTCTCTCTGCAGTGGGGCTGACTTGCTTGCTGTCAACTCTGATGGGAACATGCCATATGACCTCTGCGAGGATGAGCCCACCCTGGATGTCATCGAGACCTGCATGGCATACCAAGGTGAGGGAGGGCAGCATGCCGTAAAGTGGTCAGAGCACTTAAATCAGTGCAGGTGAACAAGCTAGCCAGCCATGTGCCTCAGGCTCAGCACTCATAAACGGGATGGGCCCTTGTCATCATTATCTGTGTGATTAAAGTGATGAGGACGCTAAGGGACCCTGGAAAACGTGCTGTGCAGAAGGGAGGTATTGTTCCCATCATGTCACCCACACATGTAGGCGGACTCAGCTGGCCTTGTCTCCTCTTCGTCAGCTGTGACAATTCGATCCCATAAACATTCACTATAAAGCTATATTCCCGTGTGGAAAATGATAAAGTCAAGAACATTGGCGGGTGCCGACTCTGTGCCAGGCACCACGCTGGCTGCCAGGGGCCCAGATAAACAAGACGTGGGCTGTTCTCAGCTCACAAATGAGGTTCAGAGAGCAAACAAATGGAGCAATGAGAGACCTGCCTGCCCCTAGTGCCCCACAAACGTGCCTGTCAAGCACCTGCTATGAAATACGCCTCATTCCAGAGCCTCAGCTGCAGCCCAAGTCCTGCCCTGCTCCTCTATTCCTCCCCAGAGCACAGCTGTAACCGCGGTTGGACCTCCTGTCCCCTGGCACCCACCCAAACTTTTCCTATTCATCTTCTGCAGAGATTCTTAGCCAGTTTTGTTCCGATCTGGTGAATCTGTGGACCACTTCTCAAAATATTGTTTTATTTATTTATTTAGAGACAAAGTCACACTCTGTTGTCCTAGGCTAGAATGCCCTGGTATCAGCCTTGCTCACAACCTCAAACTTCTGGGCTGAAGCCATCCTCTTGCCTCAGCCTCCCAATAGCTGGGACTATAGGCACGTGCCATTACACCTGGATACTTTTTCTATTTTTTGTAGAGACAGGTTCTCACTCTTGCTCAGGCTGGTCTAGAACTTCTGATCCCCCTGCCACAGCCTCTCAGAGAGCTAGGATTAGAGGCATGAGCCCGCATGCCCAGGTCAAAATAATGTTTTTAAATGAAGTGACAAAATCATAGAATTTTAAAGGAAGCCAATTTTATAAAAATATAGCTACCAAAATATTTTTAAATGAGTTAGAAGGTAGAAACTATTGATTCATTAAACAATAAGACAACACAATATGAAAATACCTTTCTGTTGCTGGCAAAGTCACAGGCACTGCTGATGTGACTGTTGGTTTTTCTAATGTTCTAGTGGTAGGGAATGCTACATTGCATTTATACCTTAATCAAAATAAACATACAATTTTTTCTCCTTTCTAGTTTATAGACCTCCTCTGAATTCTATGCAAGAATGCCTGATCCAATGGATCTTTCTATAGAGCGTGTCACTCTCTCCTTAAATATACTCTTAGTAGCTGCCAGTAACAAATGTTTTAGCCAGGGACTCAGGTTAGGTGATGTCTTTCCGGGCCCTTCTACCTCAATTTACTCAACTCTTCATTCAGAAGTAATATATTCATTAGTTTAGTTGTTCCTGCAACAACTGAACTCAATATTTATTGAGCCCTTCACTTGCTGTGACTAACACAACCATGGATGAGATGAAGCAGACTAACAGAGACCCTGGTCAGATAGAGTGGTCAGGGGAGGCCAGCTGAGCCAGTCTAGGACCTAAAGGACAAGCCAGAGCCATCCATTTGAGTAGTTGGGGTGACTACATGGATGACCAGTATCCATGCAGTGCATACTGGGTGCTGGATGGGAATGGCCCTCACTCTGTGAGCCAGCACACAGTGTTCATCAGACCTGAAGGACAAGGATCTGTGGGTGTGTCTGTGTGTCCCCTTGACTGGCGGACCCTGGGGAGCCCTCCCCTCCCTGGGGTTCTAACCTTGGGTGCTGAATAAATCTCCTCTTTCCCACTGCAGGCATCACCCAGGAGAAAATCAATGAGATGCGGGCAGCCCCGGAGCAGCAGATGATCACAGACATCCATTGCATGATTGCAGCTGGCCAGGACCTTGACTGGATAGACGCTCAGGGTGCCACGCTGGTGAGCAGATGGGCCAAGCTGGGTTGGCTGATACCAGAACCAAAACCAAGTAGGGCTGAAGTGGGCCAGCACCTGGTGGGAGCCAACTCTGTACATTCGGGACCTGTATGCAGCCTTGGAACTCCTCCAGATCCCTTGGGGCTCCAATTATTCCCAGCATGTGGAGAGTTAGTGGAAGAGGGCTTGGCCTCTGAGAAACTGGCCTCTGTCCAGCCTGATCACCACCTGCTCCCCACCTGCTCCTTCTCCAAGATCCTCCTTCACTCAGGTTCACTGTTTCCCCCTCAAGGACTAGTGCCACCACTCACCCCCGCCCCATGCCATCTTGCATTGTACTGTCCATGCCTCCTCCACCCCACTGCCTTGTCTTGTAAGTCCTGTTATTGCTGTCTCTCCTCTGGGTTCCCTGACTTCAGAGTTTTAACACTCCCGGTCATCCATCCATACATTTGTCCATTGGCCCATCCAGCCATCCAGTTAACACATGTTTATGAGCACCTCCTCTGTGCCACATGCTTTGCTGGACCCTGGAGATAGAGAACAGTGGAAGCTTCTTCTCTCTCATATATGCCTGGGTGACACCAATAAGCTCTGTGATAAGCACCTGCACGCAGAATCTCATTTCATCCTCCCAACAACCCTATGAAGAAGACACTATGTGGCTCCAATGCCAGTGAACCAGCGCCTTGGGAAAACCTCCCTGGTCTGTCCTCATAGGCCCTCTTTCATGGCACATTACAGCCCAGTCTTGGGAGGTTCTGCTTCTGCAGCTTCTAAACTAAAAACAAGAGCATGGCATGGAAGCTCACTCCCCAATGGCTGGGCCCTGTCCCGGGTGCTCAGGGGTCTTGGGAGCATGAGCTCACCAGGGGGAGCTCAGCAGCATCAAGCTCCCCTCACTGCCCCTGACCTAGGTGGTAACCATGCTTCTCCCACCTGGATCCTGAGGTCTAAACTCCGCTTCAGGCCCATTTTTATTAGCTGGGGCTCTGTTTGCATTACCTGCTCAGCCTAGAACTCAAGAGTGGGGCCAGGTAGAGAGACTGAATTCTCCAGCAGGGATTTCTCATCGTGGCCAGAGCTCCTCTGGGTCTGTCACTGGACCCTCTAGATGCAGGGGTCTTCCCCTCCTGGGCTGAGGCTGATCTCAAGTAGCCCCACACCATGGGCCAGACATGAACTGGGTCTCAGGTCTTTTCCAGAAACTGAAGATAATGGTATCTTCCTCAAAGGACTATTGGGAGGATGAAATGAAATTCTGCATATAGGTGCTTAGCACAGAGTTTGTTAACTCTTGATAGATGTTAGCAATGATCACCATTATTATTAATAATACCACTCTTCCTCTCATGCCTTTTTTTAGCCATGTGTCATTCTCCACAAATGACAAGCATCAGGCATGTATAAATTAGATAATTAGACTAATTTTCATGTGTGCCTATACCACTTCATTCCCTGGATTTATTCTGCAAATTTAAAAAAAAAAAAAAGGAAAGAAAGGAAAATTTCCACTTGCCAGAACTCACAGCAGTGATCCCCCAGGATGAGGTAGCATCTGACACTCAGGGCTGTGCTCTAAAAAGTCACTGCTGGGGCCATGTCTTTTCTGTCTCACTCACCCTGCTGTCCCAGACCTCAACCTCCCTGGACTTCTTTGACTACCTCCCAGACAGTCTCCTGCAGGCCTTCGTGGACTCTCACCTCTGTCTTCCACCTCGGTTAGGCACTTGGTTTCTCTTGGCCTCATCTCCTCTCTCATTCATTCTCACAGTGCACCTTGTCATTACTTAGGGCTCTCTAAGAACATTAATCTCTTACTGAGTGTTCATCATGTGCTAAGCACTTTGTTTATTTTCTGGGAGATTGCATGGTAGGACAGCTGAGATCTGCTAGGCATCGGCTATGACTAAAGGCCTTGAATGGTGCTGAGTAGAAAGGTTGGGACCACAACATGGGGCTTTCTCCTATCAGATATGTTAGTCATCTGTTGCTGCATGACAAAAGACCCCACAATGTAGCATCTTAAAACAATAATAAATGTTTATTATCACACCTAGTTTCTGTGGGTCAAGGAATGAGGAATGGCTCAGCAGGGTGACTCTGGCTTGGTAATTCTCATGAAATTTCAATTGAGATATTGACTGGGGCTGCAGACTCATTTGAAGGCTTGACTGAAGCTGGAGGATCCACTTCTAAGATAGCCTCATGCATGTGGCTGGCAAGTTAGTGCTGATAGTTGGCACAGTCCTCAGTTTCTTACCTCCTAGGACCTCTCCTTAGGGCTGAGAGTCCTCAAAACACAATGGTTGCCTCCTTTTGATCCAAGAGAACAAAAGTTAAAAGCAGCAACACCTTTTTGCTCTGACCTTAGAAATCATACATTGCGGGTGGTGCCTGTGGTTCAGTGGGTAGGGCACCAGCCCCATATTCCAAGGATGGTGAGTTCCAACCCGGGCCAGCCAAACTGCAACAAAAAAATAGCTAGGTGTTGTGGTGGGTCCCTATAGTCCCAGCTACTCGGGAGGCTGAGGCAAGAGAATCACCTGAGCCCAGGAGTTGGAGGTTGCTGTGAGCTGTGACATCACAGCACTCTACTGAGGGTGCTAAAGTGAGACTCTGTCTCTGAAAAAAAAAAAAAGAACGAAATCACACATTGCCAGTTTACAATATCTTATTTGTTAGAAATGAGTCACTTAAGCTGGCCCACCTTCAAGAAGGGAGCAGTCAGGCTCCATCTTTTAAAGGAAGTTATGTCAAAGAATTTGTAAGCATATTTTAAAACCAGAATTGGCCTCTGAGACACCTTCTCCAGGGCTCAGCACACAGTAGGGTCTTAGTAAATGCTGTCTCCTTTAACCACATGGGTGCTAAGACGAACCACAGGGGAGACTCCTGCCTTTCCTTCTGGGTCTGTATTTCAGACATAATAACCCTCTGCAATATGGCTGGTATTTCTACCTCATTCTGTTCCATTCTACTGGCACCAAGGATGCTCTGGGACTCTGGTAGGGGTGAGAGATATACCCCTTCCACTGTGAGGCCAGTCCTCTAGGGAATGCTCACTTCATTCCTCTCCTTTAGTTGCACATAGCTGGAGCCAATGGATACCTGCGGGCGGCTGAGCTCCTGCTGGACCACGGAGTGCGTGTGGACATGAAGGACTGGGATGGCTGGGAGCCACTGCATGCAGCTGCCTTCTGGGGACAGGTAGTTCCTGGCCACAGGGCTGTGGGGGAGGCCAGGACAGAGTTAACTGGCTGTCACCAAGTACAAAGAATAAGAGATCCAAGACCCACTTAAGGTGTTGACTGTGGCTAATATGTGGGATATGAAAAGGCCTAGGGAGTTTGCACTAAACTGTGTCCTAATAGGATGATAAACAAATTCACCAAGTTAGCAAATTCCTAATATTTCTGCTTTGAGTAATTTCTCTATTTGTTTCCAGACATAAAACACTGATTGCAGCTTATGCAGCCCCTCCTTAGACAGGTGACAGCTCTAGAGTTACAGCCGACTCCTTCTTCTCCTCCCTCTTGGTGTGGCCCAGGCATGCTGAGAAGGTCCCGTGCCCATGGCATCTGCCAGGATTATCCCTATGGCTCCAGAGTGCAGCGCCTTCCCTAGGAATCAGCTTTGCCCCACCATTCTTTGAGTCATCTCCTAATAGCCCTTGGGCACCCTCCCCACTTCTCAGGTCCTCTGAACTGTGAGCAGACGGAACATGGGCTTATTCCTGTGTTTCAGATGCAGATGGCAGAGCTTTTGGTGTCTCATGGGGCTAGTCTCAGTGCAAGGACATCCATGGATGAGATGCCAATAGGTGAGTCTCCAGCAAAACACCTGGCATATATGTAGACAGTCAACAATTTTTGATGGGTAGAGGGATAAATAAATGAATGGTTTGTGAAACTGATGGATTGGTATGTAGATAGATGAGTGAATCAATAAATTACTGGATGGTAGATTAATGGATAAGTGGATAAACAGACAAATGGATGGATGAATGGGTGGATGAGTGGGGTGGGTGGGTAGAATTGATGATGTTTAGTGAATGGTTGAGTGAATGGATGGGTGGATGGGTGAATACGAGTGTAAGGAGGATGGGTAGAGATGAATCTATGGATAGATGAGTTGGTCAGCAAATTGGTAGATGGATGAAGGTGAATAGAGTGAGTATGTGAGTATATGGATTCCTCAGTACCTTCAAATAATTTCTTTTGGGGGCTACATGGGGTGCCTACTTATTTCTCTCAATACTTCTCATGTCAGTGGAGACTTGATGACTCTTCTTAGAAACTATCAAACAGGAGTTTGAATCCCTCAGTCATAGCTGGGAACCGTAGGAATTGTGACTGTGTTTGGAACTTGAGTTTTGCCATTTTACAGTCCTCTAAGTACTGGACTGCTGACCCGGCAATAAGGCTGGCATTGTTTTCTTTCCTCACTGCATGCCCCCAGAGATGCTCGGAGCTTTTGGTGGGCTGGGGTGGTAGCTCTTCTGGCCTGGAGCCCCCTCTCAGGCCCCAGGCCCATACCCTCCCCCTGGCTACTGACTCCTCTGCCCCTTCAGACCTGTGTGAGGAGGAGGAGTTCAAGGTTCTGTTGCTGGAGCTAAAACACAAGCATGATGTGATCATGAAGTCACAGCTGCGGCACAAATCGTCACTGAGCCGGAGGACATCCAGTGCGGGCAGCCGTGGGTGAGTCAGAGGCAGGGCCGCCAGGCCTACCCACTATGTGCTTCTGCCTGTGGTGCCTGGACACAGCCTGCCAGCACCCCCTCTGTCTCCTCAGGAAGGTGGTGCGTCGAGCCAGCCTGTCGGACAGGACCAACCTGTACCGGAAGGAGTATGAGGGTGAGGCCATACTGTGGCAGCAGCGGAGTGCCGCCGAGGACCAGCGCACCTCGACCTACAACGGGGACATCAGGGAGACCAGGACAGACCAAGAGAATAAGGACCCAGTGAGTAGCCTCTTGCCTGGCCCTAGTGCCAGCCACTGCCTAGGGGAGGACAGGATGCCTTGTCTCAGAGCCTTCAGAGGGAAGAGCTGCCCTGGACACAGAGGAGCTGGCCGGGTGGTGGCAGGTACTCTAGTCAATGAGATGACCCCAGGGTGTGTTAGAGGCGCCATGTGCCTGCCTGTGCTGTAGCAGATCAAGCTGTGGGCTTCCTGGAGAGAAGGTCAAGAGGGCACTTACCCAGGAACTGAGGGCACTCAACATTTTTTTTTCCCTAGGGAATATAATAAGATGTTGGGAATTGTGTTTATCAGAGCACATATGGTTGGAAGGAGTTCTCTGAAAACCTGGGTGGAGTGCTGGGAGGAGCTTAGAGAAGCCTGCTCCAGTAGCCACCAGTGGTCTGGGGCTTTGAATTACCTTCCTAAGAGGATGCATATTCATTTCCTGTGGCTGCTGTAAACAACTGTAAACTGGGCAGTTCAAACCAGCAGAAATTTATTCTCTCACATTTCTGGAGGTCAAAAGTCTAAAATTAAGGTTAGGGCCAGGTACGGTGGCTCATACTCATAATCCTAGCATTCAGGGAAACTGAGGCAGGTGGATTGCTTGAGGTCAGGAGTTCAAGACCAGTCTGAGCAAAAGGGATAACCCATCTCTACTAAAAAAAGAAAAACTAGCTGGGCGTTGTGGCAGGTGCCAGTAGTCCCAGCTCCTTGGGAGGCTGAGGTGAGAGGATGGCTTGAGCCCAAGAGTTTGAGGTTGCTGTGAGCTATGATGATGCCATGGCACTCTACCCAGGGTGACAGAGTGATACTCTGTCTCAAAAAATAATAATAAATCAAATCAAATCAAAGTGATATCAGGGCTGGTTCCCTCTGGTGACTCTGAAGGGGACTCTGTCTAATGCTTTTCCTCTAGCTTCTGGTGGCTCAGGTGTTCCTGAGCTGACACTACTCTAATCTCTGCCTTCATCTTCATGTGGCTTTCTTCTTTGTGTGTCTGTCTGTTTTCTCTTTTTAAAGGACACTAGTCATTGGATTAGGGCCCACATCTATCCAGTATGACCTCATCTTAATTTAACTTATTACATCTTCAATACTTATTTCCAAATAGTCACATTCAGAGGTTTGGGTAGGCATGGATTTTTGAGAGACATTATTTAACCTAGAACCTACACACTCAGCATAATCGCCTTCTTGCTGAGTTGGGTGAGCAAGTTTAGGGCCAGAGCAGAATTGCAGAGGACAAGGGAGAAACTGAGTATGGTTTTGGTTCTCCCACCATGACACAGATGAAAACATTTCTAGACCATATAGTTTTGGTGGAATGAAGTTGATTTGCTGCCCAGCATGCCCACAATGGGACACCGCTTCCCAGCATAAACAGTGAGGTCACCTGCCAGCTGTCTCACCAGCAGGAGTGAAGGTGCCGTCTTTGACTGAAATCCCGTCAAAGCCCCTGGCTCAGGATGGAGAGGGGGCCCACAGGGGAGCTTCGTTCTGCCTGATCCCTAAGCTTGAGGGTTGGGGAGGAAAGAATCGTCAGGTGAAATCAAACCACATTTCAGATGCCTTCCAGCTATGTTTTATTTATTTTTTCTTTGGGATTGAGGCATGACTTTCATATAGTGAAGTGGGCAAATCTTAAATGAGGTCTTCAATGAATTTTTATAAATGTATACCCTCAGATGAATGCATAGAGCATTTTCATCACCAATGTTCTTTCTCTCAGTCAATCCCTCCCACCCCAAAGACACCCACTATTTAACTCTGGGCACTAAAGATCAGTTCTGCATATGTGTATGCGTATGAATGGACCCGTGGATTAATAGTTTGTCGGCTTGTGTCTGGTTTGTTTTATAACTCTGAGAATCATCTACATTTTGGCATATAGCAGAAGTTCATTCTTTTTCATTGCTCTGTAGAATTCTTTTGTCTGAATATTACAGTTCCATTTTCCTATTGGTAGAATTTGGGTCGTTTCTTTGGGTAGCAGTTTTTGACTACCGTGAATGAAACTGCTATAAACATTTTTGTATGTGTCTTTGGTGGACGTAACCACTATTCTGTGTTGGGTATACACCCAGGAGTGGGTCATGGAGCAGGCATATGTTTAGCTTTAGGAGATACTACCAAGCAATTTTCCAAAGTGATTGTACCTCTCTGCTTCCCCATCAGCAGTGCAGGAGCATTTCCTGCCAACCCCTGGTATAGTCCTTTTAACTGGAGCTATCCTGGTGAGTTGTGGCGGTAACTTACATTGTAAATTTGTATTTCCCTGGTGGAGGATGGTGATGGGGAGCATCTTCCCATATGCTTCTTAGCCATTTGGTTACCCTCTTTGATGTAGCAGCAATTCTTTTGCCTTTGTTGTTGTTGTTGTTGAGTTATTTTTTCCTTATCAAACTGTAGGCGAGACTGAGATTCTTAAAGAAATCCTCATGGAAGCAGCCTTTCTTCCTCCACACATGATTTGACCCTGTGTTTGCTCAGATCTCGTGGACCCCAGGACTTCCCTAGAAGTGCTCATTGATGTGGAGTCTCAGAATCATGAAGCCTGTAGGGAACAGGGCAGGGCACGTGACAGCAGAAACCACCTGTAGTTAAACATGTAATTTTGTTGTCCATGGTGTAAATTTCTAGGGCTTCCTCACCTTCCTCTAGGGCTGCAGTGTGGGGTTAGGCAAGGTGAACAGATGAGTTACTTTGCCTCTGGGGCTGGGTTTTTCAGGCCTGGGGAAAAGGAGAGAAGGAACCAAGGTGGCATAGCCAGAAGCAGCGACCCTCACCTTAGTCACCCCGCAGTCCAGCCCCAGCCCTGGAAGAAATCATGAGGTCACAGGACATAGCTACAGAACTCAAAACTCAATCTTTTTCTCATCCCTTTTCCCCTTTCAAGGCTTTAGGTGCTGTCAAGGTGCTTACTAAGGCAGGAATTCTCAGTGTGGCCCCCGGACCAGCAGCATCAGCATCAGCATCAGCATCAGCTGGATTTATTAGAAATGCAGATTCTTAGGCTCTGCCCTGCATGTGATTCTCATACACACAACTCAGAAGCAATTTCTGCCAAGGCTCCTCCCTGTTAGCCCTTAGGACTGACTTTGCTTCACACTTTTGGCGGAGCTAACTCCCTGGTACCAGGCACAACAGTGATGACAGTCCAAGTCTTGTCAACCAGTGCTTCACAAATTTAACTGCACAGTATAATCACCTGGAGAGATGTTCTTGTTGTTTTTTAATCCTGATGTCTAGATAGACGTCCAGGCTGATTAAATCAGAATCTTAGGAGCTGGGACCGAGGCATTGTGTATGTGTGTGTGTGTGTGTGTTTAAAGTCTAAATTTATTTAAAGTCTACATTTATTTGAAATGATTGTAGCAATAAATAGAGTACTTCAACCACAGAATTGGCAAGGACCTTGGAGGTCAGGGAGAAAGGAGTTTGTTTTCCAGAGAGGACAGAGGCTGGAAGAACCAACGGTGGGCTGGGTAGGTATGATCTGACAGTTGATCAGGAATGCAGTCCTGCAGGCAGCCCATTTCCAGAAGAGCCTTCAGGAGAGTTGTTCTGCTCGGCGGTGCCTGCTTACCCTGAATGATGAGTCAAGGTTCAGGATGTGGGGAGGACGGCAGCTTAACTAAAGTTTGGTTAAGTCATTTAGCAAGCATTTGATTTCACTTGATAAGTGGGGAAAACAGTTCAGCCAAACATCAAAGAGAAAGAGAATGAGAGTTTGGGGGACTGTATCTGGGTTGTCCTAGGCTAAAAAGGGGTCATCTGAGTGTTCCAGAAATCATAGGGGAAGGGTGATTCTGTCCAGTGAGCCATTCCCCAAGACATAAAATGTGGGGGGCTTTCATTAACTTCCTGCTTTTCTGGGGCTTCTGGCAAGTTCAGCATCATCAGGATGATTGTGGCTACCACAGGGGATGTTCTAGGATCAACTGGGTTCTTACTGATAGACTACTCAGCCCGTAATTTGTGCTTCGGTAAACACTAGGCAGATAAACACATCACAAGGAAGGCACTTTCCTTTATAACCTGCATCCTTCACGCTGTGGTTAGTCCCTCTTCTTTTTTTTGAGACAGAGCCTCAAGCTGTCCCCCTGGGTAGAGTGCTGTGACATCACAGCTCACAGCAACCTCTAGCTCCTGGGCTCAAGCGATTCTCCTGCCTCCACCTCCCAAGTAGCTGGGACTATAGGCACCCGCCACAACGCCTGGCTATTTTAAATCCCTGGATCAGTGTTTTTCAACTTTTTAAAAATCTCATGGCATACTTGAATCTCTAGTTAGACTTCCCACAGCACACTTAAAAAGTGTTTTAATTAAATTTAATTTTAAAATTAAAATTTAAGGCTCGGCGCCTGTGGCTCAAGCAGCTAAGGCACCAGCCACATACACCTAAGGTGGCGGGTTCGAATCCCCAGCCCGGGCCTGCCAAACAACAATGATGGCTGCAACCAAAAAATGGCCGGGCGCTGTGGTGGGCGCCTGTAGTCCCAGCTACTTGGGAGGCTGAGGCAGGAGACTCGCTTGAGCCCAGGAGTTGGAGGTTGCTGTGAGCTGTGATGCCACGGAACTCTATCCAGGGGGATAGCTTGAGGCTCCGTCTCAAAAAAAAAAAAAAAAAAATTAAAATTTAAGTGATCAAAAAAGACTAAAAAATATATATATACTTACTGTGCATTGAACTTTGGAAAATAATTTAATGATCTTAAAAGTTTTCTCGGCACACCTAAGATCCTCTCTTAGCACGCCAGGGTGCTGTGGTGACTGGCTGAAAATCACTGTTCTAGATGATTCCAACATGCATCCACCATGGGGCCAGTGTCTCAGATCCTTCCTACACTAGCAGGAACTTGTTAGAAATGCTGAATTTCAGGTCCAACCCAGACCTATTGAATCAGAAAATGCATTTTCACAAATCCCCTGGTGACTCATAGGGACATTGAAGTTTGAAAAGCACTAACTTAGACTATCAGAAATCTGCTCTTGGCCAGGCATGGTGGCTCATGACTATAATCCCAGCACTTTGAGAAACCAAGATGGAAGGACTGATTGCAGCCAGGAGTTTCAGACCAGCCTGCACAACATAGCAGGACCTTGTTGCTATAAAAACTAAAAAAAAAAAAAATTAGCTGGGCATGGTGGCATGTGTCTGTAGTCCCCGTTACTTGGGAGGAAGAGGCATGAAAATCACTTGAGCCCAGGATTTCCTGGTTACAGTGAACTATAGTCACACCATTGTACTCAGGTCTGGGTGAGAGAGTGAGACCCTGATTCTTAAAGAATTTAAAAAAAAAAAATTAGGCCAAGTGGAGTGGTTCGATACCTTTAATTCCAACGCTTTGGGAGTCCGATGTAGGGGGACCACTTGAAGGAGGCCAGTTTAAGAACATCCTGAGCAACAAAGTAAGACCTCATTCCTATAGAACAGATATAAAAGGAAAGTGTCAGTACTCCCAACTACTTGGTAGGCTGAGACAGGAGAATGGCTTAAGCCAGGGAGCTCACCACTGCAGTAAGCTATTATTATACTACTGTTCTCCGGCTTGCACAACCAAGTGAGACCCTGTCTCAAAACAAATGAAACAATTAAAAATAAAAAAGAATCTAGTTTTCTCCAATGTAGTACCTGATTGCATAGTTTAGGAGGAACCATTAAAAAAAGAAGAAGAATTCTAACACACAAGTAGAAAACTTGCCATGGAGAATGTTCTTTGTCATGTCATATTTTAACCTAAATATATATTTCTTGGGAGATCTTTTCATGCCAGCATATGGAGAGTTCTCTCATGCTTGTTACCAGCTGCAGAGCATTCTGGTAAAAGTACCCGCCACAATTTCCCACTTGCCCAGTGATGACTTTCAAGCTTTGCACCCACAAGAGTGTTTATCTTTGAAACAAAGTCCTAGATATGGGCTTGCTGGTGCGAAGTATATATTCTCTAAAAAAGAATCTTTTTGGATGGATGAATAATGCAAAAATTGTCCTCTAGAGAGACTTTGGAAGTTTACATCCTCTTCTATTTTTCTATACTTGCCAACAGAGAGTAATAACAAGATATTAAAACATTTGTCAATATGGTAGTTAAAATGGTATTTTGTTGTTTTAATTTTATGTTATTCATTATTAGTGAGATGGAATATTTTTCCAGTGGTTATATGTTGTGGGCTGTATATTGGTGTCCTTTGCCTACTTTTTCCAGTTGGATAGTTTGGCTTACAAAATGTGACTCTTTTTTTTTTTTTTTTTTTTGAGATAATCTCACTTTGTCACCCTCAGAAGAGTGCTCTGGCATCATAGCTCACAGCAACCTCAAACTCTTGGGCTCAAGCAATTAGCTTGCCTCAGCCTCCTGAGTACCTGGGACTACAGGTGCCCCCCACAATGCCCGGGTATTTTTAGAGACCGAGTCTTGCTCTGGCTCAGGCTGGTCTCCAACCTGTGAGCTCAGGCAATCCACCAGCCTCGGCCTGCCAGAGTGCTAGGATTACAGGTGTGAGCCCCCATACGAGGCCCCCAAACTTGACTTTATGAGTTCTTTATATATTTAGAAAATGAGTCCTTTTTATGTGATATACATCGACAGCATTTTTCCGGGTTTTGCATGTGTCTTTGGACTTTGTTTATAGTGACTTTTGCTAGTTTTGCATTTTTGTTATTGTCAATGTATCTACTTTTTGGTGTATAGTTTCTAGGCAGCAGCTACTTTTCAAGCTCTTGCTATCCCAGGATCACTGGATGTACAGGATCCCTGGGTAAGAATGTTCTTTGAAGTGGAGCTATGCTGGGATTACAGAGGAGGGATTAGAAGTGATTGAAAACCCAACTAAAATTGATTTACACCAAAAAGGGATTTATGGGCTCATGTAACTGAGAAGCCTGGGCCCATCCGGATCCAGGGCTCAAAATGCATCATCAGAGCACAGGCTTTCTTGTCTTTAGTCTGCCTTAATGGTAGCTTCACTTATAAGTGGATCCTTTGATGTAGAGTCTTCCAGCCCCTAGTTTATATCATTCTATTTTTTTTTATAAGAGACAGTGGCCGAGCTAGGTGGCTTATGCCTATAATCCTAGCACTCTGGGAGGCCAAGGCAGGCGGGTTGCTTGAGATCACATGTTCGAGACCAGCCTGAGCAAGAGTGAGACCCTGTCTCTAAAAATAGCTGGGCATTGTGGCAGGCACCTGTAGTCCCAGCTACGTGGGAAGTTGAGGCGAGAGGATCACTTAAGCCCAAGAGTTTGAGGTGGCTGTAAGTTCTTGTAGAAATTTCTCTTTCCTCGTTGTTCTAACAAAAGTCCTGAACCAGTTTCAGATAAGAAACCTATCCCTGGACCAATCCCTATAGTGACAAGGGTTGATTGGCCAGGCTTTGGGTCATGGTCCAGCCCCTGGAGCAAGGCTGGGGGTGGGTCAGCTCTACTGAAACTCATAGACTGGTGATTCCCCAAAAGTTGTTGTGGGCCCTAATACACAGGTAGAGGAAATGAGTGGAGGGCAGGTCCAAATAATGCCCTCAGCAGAGGTGCAGGTAGGTCAGGGTTCAGATGCTCTAGCGAGCTGCTAATGTTGTTTTTCTCACTCTCAGAACCCCAGGTTAGAGAAACCTGTGCTGCTCTCCGAATTTTCCACCAAGATTCCACGAAGTGAACTGGACATGCCTATTGAGAATGGCCTCCGGGCTCCAGTCAGTGCCTACCAGTATGCATTGTCCAACGGGGATGTCTGGAAGGTGCATGAGGTGCCTGACTACAGCATGGCCTATGGCAGCCCTGGTATGGCTGACACGACCCCGCCCTGGAGTGGCTACAAGGAGCAGAGCCCCCAGACACTTCTGGAACTGAAGCGGCAGCGGGCTGCAGCCAAGTTGCTCAGCCACCCCTTCCTGAGCACTCACCTGGGCAGCAGCATGGCCAGGACGGGCGAGAATAGCAGTGAAGGCAAGGCCCCCTTGATTGGAGGCAGAACTTCACCGTACAGCAGCAATGGGACTTCAGTGTATTACACAGTCACCAGCGGAGATCCCCCGCTCTTGAAGTTCAAGGCCCCCATGGAGGAGATGGAGGAGAAGGTCCATGGCTGCTGCCGGATCTCCTAGTCTCCTTGCGACAGAGGAGAGAGATGCCTCAGAGAGGGGTCCCTGGAATCCATGCCAGCCCAACAGCCTTGGCTGGGGAGGTGTCAGAGGGCACCCAGGAGAGGTGGGCTCTGCTTTCCAGAGGAACGCTGTGCCCACCCCTCACCCAGCTGCCCACAGCATCCCCTTCCCAGGCTCTGCGTCCTGCTGCATCGTCTGCTGTCTGACACAAGGCCTGCCATGGCCTCCTGACTCACTCTGCTGTTCCATTTTGGGAGGGCTTGGGATCCCAGTTCTGTTCTTGGTAAAGGCTTCTTTGGATTACTGCACGTCACCTATCAACACACACACACATCTGGGCTCATGGGAAGCAGGTGGGGCTGAGAACTTGTGGGATGTTCCCAAAGAGATGGAGGTTAAGACTCAGAGTCTCATCCCACTGCTGATGTGGCTTTGGCCCGGGAGGGGAGCTGCTAGGCTAAGACTCATCATTCTGTTCAGAGTAACAGTGAGGTCTGGGCCAGCAGCCACACCTGGCAGGGGCAGGGAGTCCAGAACCCACATGGTTGGGTCGGACATGAGATGGACACAGGCCTGCTCCCTGCAGCTTGGTAGGGAGCTGCTCTCCTGCCCATGCCAGGAGCCAGCTGTATGGTCACTCAGGGGCTGAGGGGAAAAATCAAGTTAGTCCACTCCTAAAATAAACCATGTCTTACTCTTGCTTGGATAGAGGCATCAAAGGCAGGAGGGTGGCAAGGTCAGTGTTTACAAAAGGGCACTTGATAAAAAAATTCTTTTAGGCTGTAAAACTCCAGGTGGGAGGTTACTGAATTCTCTTTCTTGTATGGCTAGTGTCAGGATCATAGGTTTTACTGGCTGATGTTGGAGAAACAAAGCCAGATGAGGAACTTTTGGTGGAAGCCCTACTCCATGGAGGGGATGAGTTAATTTCTAAAAGCGCCTCTGGTTAACAGTGACAGAGCCTAGCCAGGCTGATCTTTGTGAATATCCAGGCTGTTTCAGTGCGGCCCATCTCAGACTGAGCCATCAGAGTGAGCAGCCCAGGGGTGAGTCATGAGTGCAGAGGCAGCGCTCAGGACCCCCAGCCCAGCTTTTCCTTTTCTGGAATATTTAGTGAGGCAGGTTTAGCCCTTTCAAATTCTTGCCTGGCCTAATGGTTCCCAGCCTGCTCCTGTCAGTGTGGCGATGCCCCAGAGCTGCAGATCCAGGGTGCTGGGCTCAGCATACTGCACTGCATTCAGGGTGGCCGTGGTGGGTCTAGAGCCCATGCGGTGTCACCCAGCTCTGCAGTTCCACAGCCCAGTCTTTGAGATGCTGGGGAGAGAGGACCTAGAAGGGGCCAGGAAGGGCCGGCCGCCCTCCCCTGCACCACTGCAGTCTCCCACAGAGCCATCTGGAATTGTTGCCATGGGTTGGGCACCTTTCAGTGTGACTAACAAGCTGCGGGCCTGCTCCCTGCTCTGTGTGCCGATTTTTGTCCTTAAACTACCTCCTTAGAGAGTTAATGGGGCCCCTCAGGTTGAGATTCTAATTTGGGGGAATACATATGTGTTCTCTTTAACTCACTTCTTTCTGAGTCTATGAGAAATTCTCCCTGAGGGGGCCCCGGGCTAGGGTGCTGGGGCTGGGGAGCCCCCTTTGTGCCACAACCCTAGTAATGGGGTCTGTTGTTTGCAGTCCACCCCTACTGTGGCCCTTATAACCCAAAGAGGGAGCTGCAGGACCTCAAGGAGCCTGGCTGGTCCTCTCCCTGGAGCAGGGCAGCTGGGGCTGAGAGCACAGAGCTCCTGGGAGTGACTGTGCCCTTGGTGGCCACTGGGTGTGAGGTCTTAGCACTGGGCCACCCCTGCCCCAATATCAGGACAGAGGTAGTGTAGAGTGGATCAGCAGCTCTGTTGACAGGTGTACATGATCATCCCTGAGGTCTGGGATGGGTTCTCCAGTGTCTCAGCCTATGGCTGGAGCGGGCCGGGATAATCCAAAACACACATACCTTTGGCTGAAGGCAGGATCAATCCATACCTGACACTGAAATGCCCTGGTGACCAGACTTTAGTCATAAGGAGGGGAGTGCAGAGAGAAACCACGTGCTCCTCAGGAGAGGGCTGTGCATGTTTTCCTGTATTTTTGCTCAGGGCAAACACTGAAGGCATTTATTGCCCATCCTGAGCCCTTGAGGCCATTCCCTCTCCCCCTTGCCTCCTGCTCCTGGGCCAGTTCTCCCCACCCAGAAGACCGGGTAGCCCAGCTGTTTCCTTGACAGGAGCCAACATTAGCTCATGTTTCTAGTCAGGGATAAGCCATTCCCTGACAGGGATTTGAGTCCTGTGGGAGCTTTCCCTGTGGGTCTCCTAGATTTTGAAGGGCAAGTTGGGGACCAACCTCTGATGAATGAGCTGATGTCATTCATTTATTCACTGATATAATTCACTGAGTACATGCAACATGCCTGGCTCTGTTAGATTCTGCTGGTGAAGGAGGAGCAAGACAGAATGAGGGTTTTTCTTTATGGTTTTCAACCCTGGCAGGGGGACTGTGGCCATGAGCAGCCCCCTCTGGTCGCCTGAGGCAGAGGGCCTGCAGCCCAGTCTAGCAGCCCTTTGCTCTTCAGTGCCTAGATCCTTGGAGTCTGAATCCCCTTTGTAGGGAACAGCTGCCGTGGCCCCTCCTGATAACCTTTGCCAGTCAGGGCAGATGCTAGATCTCGGGCTCCAGGTAGACACCATCCCAGGTCCATCTGGAACTTTCAGAGATAGCTGCCTTGGGCCAGCATCTTTGGGGGCTACATAATAGCAGTTTGAGGTCAGTGTCTAGAAGAATGAATGGTCTGTGATTTGCTGCCAAATGCATCTTATTGTTTCTTGCTCATTTTTGCTCATTGATTACATAGAACCCCTGCTCCCACCTCACCCCAGGAATGGATAATGGGAGGAAAAAGGGCTTCTCCTTTCAACATCGAAGCCCTTCCTGGCAGATCTGCTTCTCTCTGTGGCAGGGGTGGATTAAGGAGTTGGGAGCCGTCCTGCAGGTCTTGTGGTGGCTCCTTTAGATGAAAGGAGGCCACTTCCAAAGCAGGAGCGCACAGCTTACTATGAACTCTGGCCCTTGCTCATACCTTATGCCCCAAACAATTGAAAATTGGTGGCTGTCACCAGATTGTGAATTTCTCTTTAGAAGCTCAGGAATAAATTGTAGGCCCAGGGCCACTGAAGACTAAAGATATAATACTTCCTCAAATATGCAGCATAAATAAAACAGCTCTGCACTGTCTGATCAGTTTCAAGAGGCTTAGGAAGGGTTAAAGTGGGTGTGTCCCCTGACCTGCCCCACCAGAACCAGAGTGTGCTGGCTTTTTAATAACATGAGACCTTTTTGGTTATTGGTGTCAGATACCTTTTAATCCTGAGCTCTCTGTCCCACCTGCTCTCTCCCTTAGAGCAGGATATTGGGGTACTTTCTAGAAGGGTGCTCCTTCCAAGATGCCCAGAAGGACTATAATTAACTCTTGCTATCACAGCCTGGGGATAGGCTCCCCTCCCCTAGGGCACATAAGAGCAAAGGGTCACAGGGTCAGTAGATGACCCTGCAGAATCACCCCCTTTGCCAGAAGCTATAGCCCTCTCCTTGACAGGAAGCCCTTGTTGGCAAGAGGGCCTGCTTCCCCATGGGCATTGCAAGTGCCACTGTGCGGGGCCTGGCTCTGCACACCATGGAAAAGTCTGCAGACCCCCAGCCTTCCGCAATAATTCACCAGACCAGAAGCCACTGATGTACAGAGAACATTTAAGAAAAAATGTATTTTATGTGAAAAAAAGTTAAAACTCTGTATACTGTATCAGCAGCTTTGTGTAAAAATGGCAATCGAGAGAGTCTAATATATTTAAAACTTTTTTTAAAAAAAATCCTTGCGGATCTTTGATATTGTATTGAAGTAACTTCCAGGTAGCTCCTCTCCATGTGGCAGTGGTGGGGCCTGTGGCCATGACCATGGCCCAGACACATCCTGGAGGGAGCACATGTCCCTGAAGTTGCTCCCAGCTGCCAAGGCCTGTGATGGAATTCGCTGTTAAGAGTTTTTAATTAAGATTATTAAATTCCTTTTAATAACACCTGTGAGTATGACTGGTTATTGCTGGGAGCACACTTGAAGGGTGCTGACTTGAATTCATAAAGAGATGCTGCCTGAGATTGAGGGGGGTTGGTGAGAGTTCCTGGCTCCTGCCCCCATCACTGAGGACTCTTCTGGGAGGCCCCTGAAGTAGAGGGAGGTCTGGGGGCTCAGACACAGAGAAGGGGGTCTTTCTAGACTGAGAGACTTTAAAACTAGTGGGTGGGCTTGGCACCTGTGGCTCAAGCAGCTAAGGCGCCAGCCACATACACCTAAGGTGGCAGGTTCGAATCCAGCCCGGGCCAGCCAAACAATGATGGCTGCAACCAAAAAACAGCCAGGCATTGTGGCAGGTGCCTGTAATCCTAGCTACTTGGGAGGCAGAGGCAGGAGACTCACTTGAGCCCAGGAGTTGGAGGTTGCTGTGAGCTGTGATGCTATGGCACTCTACCCAGGGTGACAGCTTGAGGCTCTGTCTCAAAAAAAAAACAAAAACTAGTGGGTGGTTGGGAATGACCTTCCGTCAAATATTTGCTTTGAAATTAACACAAGGCCCTATGATAGCATATATCTATTCCCCATATTTTCCTGATGATATTTATCTGTAACAAGTTGCTCCTCTCACCCGTTCCATTCTTGGAGAGCACTGACTTGAACTGTCCCCTCCCTCTCCCACCCCTCAGTCTTCCCCTTCATGTAGCTCACAGTGGGAAGTATAATACTGTATAGTCACAATGCTTCATCTCACAACACAGGGAAGGCCTTGGTTATTCTCATTTTTCACCTCAAGCAATAGAGGAATAGAAGATTTATGTGGTTACACAGCCCCAGACCATGATCCTTGTGCTTGTCACACGGAGAAGTTTGTTAGTAACGTGAAAGAGGACAGAAAGGGGTGGCACTTGTAGCTCAGTGGGTAGGGCATCAGCCACATACACAGAGGCTGGAGGGTTTGAACCTAGCCCAGGCCTGCTAAAGAACAATGACAACTGCAACAACAACAAAAAATACCTGGGCAATGTGGCAGGTACCTGAGTTCCAGCTACTTGGGAAGCTGAGGCAAGAGAATCGCTTAAGCCCAAGAGCCAGAGGTTGCTGTGAGCTGTGAAGCCACGGCACTTTACCAAGTGCAACATAGTGAGACTCTGCCTCAAAACAAACAAACAAACAAAAAAAACAAGAAAGGGTGCTTTCTTGCAGCCATCTGGACTCTGGATGTCAGAACAGGGACACATGGAAGGCCCCATACCAGAGATTGAAAAACTTCACAAATAGGCTGGGGATGGGGAGAGGACAGAAAGAGAAGGCAGGCATTCATCCATTTAAAAAGTTTATTGACTGCTGGGTGGCACCTGTGACTCAAAGGAGTAAGGTGCAGGCCCCATATGCCGGAGGTGGCGGGTTCAAACCCAGCCCTGGCCAAAAACTGCCAAAAAAAAAAAAAGTTTACTGACTGCTAATAATAATGGTAACCTCTTACATTTATGAAGCACTTTACAGCTGTGGAGATGCTCTCTCATTTACACAAGGAAGATGAGTCCTGAAAGTCGATGGTTGGATTTAGCACTGTGAAACTCGGTGACTCTGATAAGAGGGTTTGGAATAAGAGTGGGCTGGGTACTAGCCCCACTGGAGAGGGCTCAGAGAGAACTGGAAACACCAAGCGTAAACAACTCACTTGTCTGAGGCTTTATGCCGCCAAGGAGAGCAGAGAAATGGGGAGGGAGCTCCAGGAATATAGAGTCAAGAGAAGGTTTAAAGATGAAGAATATTTCACCATGTTTGTATGCCAATAGAAATGAATCAGTAAAGAGGGAAATTGCTGTTCCAGGAGTTTTCTGTCCAGGCAGAAAGGCTGGTGTTGGATGGGCCGACAATTTGTCTCTGGCACAGAGGGAAGCAGACGGGGTGGGAGTGAGTGAACCTTCTTTCCTGACTGCTTCTATTTTCTCAGTGAAATAGGAAACAAGCTCTCAGAGTAAGGCTAAAGGAAAAGGTAGAGTGAATGAAGGACATTTTAGTGTAGCAGGAGATCTTAAAGGCCAGCTTGAGATCATGACCAGTCAATAGTTTGCTTTTTTTGCCAGCCCTGCATGGCTGCCCAGGTGCAGGTGGAAAGTAGGGTTTAACCAGGCTTGGGGTTTTACCAGGCCCTCCTCCCCAAAAAATGAAATGAAAGAGAAGGCTGCCTGGAGGGTATCATGATAGGAAAAAGAAAGAAAGAAAACTGGTCTTTTATTTCTTTGGACTGTTATACCTGAAGCGAGTGGAATAGAGAAATGCCAGCACACAGAGGTCAAATTAAGCCAGGGTCCTTTTATTGATCAGCCTGGCTGAGAGCAAGCTCATGCCTTAAAGTATTTCAACCCCCAGAAGCAGGGGTGGAGTGCTTTCGGTAGGCTAGGGGGAGTCCTTAATGCAAGCCAAATTTCAAAAGAACCAACACTTGCAAAATTAGACCTGTAGGGTAAGGCAGTGGTTCTCTACCTTCTTAATGCTCTGACCCTTTAATACAGTACATCATGTTGTGGTGACCCCCAACTATACAATTATTATCGCTGCTACTATATAGCAACCTTAGGAAGGTTGAAAACCCCTGGGATGAGGCGAAGGGGAGTGCTTACAAGGGAGAGTCATGGTTTCACAGGTTTTGCAGTTTTTGCTAAAACTGGTCTTAGGTCCAAGTCAAACCCTTGACTCTTCATTTTAGGGGCACTGAATCATATTGAGCATTTATGACCGTGAGTTTTATTGCAGCCAGTTGAGTTTTTTTTTTTTTTTAATTTGATTAACCGGTTGAGAATACGAGGCCCAACCAGCAAACCTAGGGTAAGGAGGATTAAAGAGGGCCAGCCAGACTAGTGATTGAAGTTGTTAGTAACTGGGGGGTCTTGCTTATCTAACCCTGCATAATAGATAGAACCACAATCAGAAGCTAAATCAGGTTGGGTTACATTTAAAAGATATCACATACCGTTTACCATACTTAACAGTAGGAAGAAAAAGGAAGTTTTTGGTGAGGTTTTTTTTGTAGGGCAAAGAGCCTTTTAGGTCTGGATTGAAGGAATTTAACAGTGGGTCCTTCAGTTGTGCAAGGGGCCCCACTGGTCTTGAGGGGAGGCTCCTGGGCAGCACAATTAACTGTATTAGGCCAGTATGTATAGAGGTGGAGTTTCCAAGTCTATTTTTATCTCCAGGTTTGCTCAGTTGGCCTCTGTACCCAGGTTTTCACATTCCCATTATTTTCAAAACTGGCCTTTACTATAAGACCTTGTTCTATGTGCTCTGGCGTACTGGGTGGCATTAAAGTTAAAAGCACTGGCTTGCAATCTCCTTTCCAACACACAACACAAAGTAGGAGGGGAAAGAAGCAAGGGTACAAAGGGCAGCGCCTGTGGCTCAAGGAGTAAGGTTCTGGCCCCATATACTGGGGGTGACAGGTTCAAACCTGGCCCCGGCCAAAACTGCAGGGAAAAAAAAAAAAACAGTGCAGGGAAGGAAAATGTCTATATACAGGAAAGAAATCAAGATTTTAACAGTCTTCGCTTGAGAGGGTTTTCTCCTGGGGCCACCGTCCAGTGGGCTCTGCTGTATTCTTTGGTCTTCTTCACCCAGGTGTGGTGTGTCCATGCTGATAAACCCTCGATTCTCACGGCTATCAGAGTGATGAGGATGATGAAGGGGCCCTTCCACTTCAGAGTGGGGCCTTGTTTTTGTAATGAGATGTAATGTATACTCGCTCTTCAGGCTGAAGATGCCTCTGGCTTCATGGACAAACAGGTAGAATCCAATAAAGCCAAGGCTGGGGCTATTACAAGGGCCTCCTTTAGAGCTTTAAGTACCTGATCCTCTTGGTCTGTCCACAGGATGGGCCCATCTCCAGCAGTGGTAACATACAAGGGCTTTGCGATTTCAGCAAAACTCCAGATCCATAAACATCAGTAGCCAGCTCACCCCAGGAATTCCCAGACTTGCTGTTTTGTTGTAGGAGTTGGGATCTGCAGGACTGCCCCTTTTCTCTCTCCAGTGAGAGTTCATTGGCCTTTTGACAGCAGGTATCTAAGATACATCACTTCAATCAAACAGAGTTGCATTTTCTTTGCTGACATCTGTAACCTCGCTCTTTGAGATACCGAAGGAGGTCTCAGGTACACCATTTGTAGTCACCGACCAAATGGCATCAACATACTGCAAGAGAGCACAATTCATATACCTGTCTTTGAAGATCTTTAAGTCTTTCCTCAGGGCCTCTCCAAATAATGTGGGAGACTTCCTGAAACCCTGGGGGAGCTTGTCCGTGTTGAGTTGGCTGATCATCCTGGATTCTGGATCAGTCCACTCAAAGGCAAAGATTGGTTGGCTGGAGGGGCCAGAGGGACAGAGAAGAAAGCATCTTTCAGGTCCAGAACTATAAACACCTGGAATTCTGGTGGAAGGAGACTTAGAAGATTGTACAGGTTTGGGCATTTTCTAGCAGCTGGGAAATATTCATCCCAGCAAATCTTTCTGGCTTCTGTAATTTCTTCCTGATGTCTGGGGCTGACTGAGACACAAAGGCTAAGTTCACCATCCTGGCATTTTCTGGAGTTAAGGGGTCAAACTGGGTGTAGATTTGGGAGGATTCCCTGCGTCACTCCAAATATGCCCTGGGTGACTCCTCTGGGCCCTGGAACACCTCAGTTGTTTTTTGATAAATGTATAGGTTTTCGGGCTGCTGCCCATAGGCCAATTAAAAGAGACCAGTAGAAAGCTTCTAGAGCCTGGGATCCTGCTAAGGTATTAGGGTTCCAATCCAGCCGTTCTGCCAGAAAAACTCTGTTAAACTCCCTTTGCACCTCCTCCCCAGCATCTTAGTAGGGCAAGGACTGGTGGGGTCTGCTGATCCTTTTGGGTTCCAGGACAGGTAAGAAAGACTGCAGAGTGAGATCTCACGATTTGACAAACAAAACTAGACACATCACCGGGACAAACAAAATGACTCATAATACACACAATTCCCAAAAAGCAATGTTTATTATAAACTAACAACATATATACAAGTCTAAAGTGCATATCTGAGGCTCCCCCCCAAAGTCCTGGTGTTTCTAGGGACAGGTCACACTTCCAACACACATCTCTGAGAGTCCCAGACAGGTCAGGTTCCCTGAGGCTCCTGTCTTAGACTAGGTTTATGGGTCTGTCCTCAGGGCCAACCCCTAAGGCTCCCTTCTTACCTGCGCCTCTGTGTCCAAGCTTCCCTGAGGCCAAAAGACCAAAACACTGGCTTCCTGGTGGCACTAGCATTCTAGCGTCTCTGACAGGCCACAGCCAACTCCTGAGGCTCTGTCCAGTGGTCTTCCCTCAGAGGTCCCTAAAGGCCCTTCTAAACAAAAATATTTTCAAATAAGCACCACAGACTGAAACATTACCACAATTACTTCTCGAGAGTAAGTTGGAGGACATGAATTTGGGTGAGGAGTTGGAAGGAGTCCCTCAGAAGCCCTCAGGAGGAGTTCAGGGAATTACAGGGCTCTGAAATGTCTCAGGGGGTGTCTCCCCTATAATTCCTGCTGTTTCGGGGGGGGGGGCTACCCAGGGAGGCCAACCTTCTACCTGATGAATCTTGCTGCGGCCTACAAACGTTATACCTGACACAAATGAAATAGAGAAACGCCAGCACACTGAGTCCAAATTAAGCAAGGATTCCTTATTGATCAGCTGGGTGGAGAGAAGGCCTCTAAGTCTCAAGAGGAGCAGGGGTGGAAACTTTTTATAAGGTGCTTTTGGTAAGGGCGAGGTAACCAAGTTGAATTTCACAAGAGCCAACACCTGCAATATTAGATCTATTGGGTAAGAGGAGTGCTTACAAGGGGGAGCTGCAGTTTTACAGGTTTTTGCAGTTTTTGGTAGATTGCAGCTTTCAGCTGAGCTTCCAGTTATTGAAAGCCCTTAGCAAAGTCCTTAGCAAAATGGAGTGAGTCTGGCTCTATGAACAAAACGGAGGTAGGGCAGTACAGGACGGGTATTTTTGGAACAAACAAATAAATGGTGAAATGCAGAGGATAGAGGAGACATGGCTGGCCGCACGCAGGCTCTGAGACTCCAAGAGCAGGGCGGTTCTTGTGTCTGGGAAAGGGCACCAACCTTTCCTCCCTGCCCAGGCCTTTAACTGTTAGCCCATCTATGGCCGCACTGTGGGGCGGCCGGCGGGGGGCGCGCTGCGACAGCCAGAACCCGCTCTGGAGCCTCTATCTTCGCTGCCCGGCCCGCGCCACAGCCCAAGTTTAAATTCCTCTGTACTGGTCGAGGGGTGGTGGCGGAAATCCTCACTGCTATGCCCGGGGGCAGCCAATAGCGCACGAGGAGGCGGGATCCTGGCGGCGTACGCCCCGCCCCTCCCTGCCATTGGGAGCGAGGTAGCCAATGGTAGGTGCGGGGCGGGGCGGCGCGGCCAATGGCGCGGGCTGGTTTGATTCAAAGGCTAGCGGCCAGCAGTGAGTATAAAACGGCCTTCGCACCGCTCCTCTCTCAACAGCTAGTGCATCCGAGCGCCGCCATGGCTCTGCGGCCGGAGGTCCTGGACGAGCTGCCAGCCGCCTGTCTGTCGCCGTGTGGACCGCCCAACCCCGCCGAGCTGTTCAGTGAAGCGCGGCGCCTGGCGCTCGAGGAGCTGGTGGCCGGCGGCCCCGACGCCTTCGCGGCCTTCCTGCGCCGCGAGCGTTTGGGTCGCTTTCTGAACCCCGACGAGGTGCACGCCATCCTGAGCGCGGCCGAGCAGCCCGGGGAAGAGGGTGCAGCGGCCGAGGACTCCTTTGGCTCGTCGCACGACTGCTCGTCGGGCACCTACTTCCCGGAGCAGTCGGACCTGGAGCCGCCGCTGCTGGAGCTCGGATGGCCTGCCTTCTACCAGGGTGCTTACCGCGGCGCCACGCGCGTTGAGGCGCACTTCCAGCCTCGCGGCGCGGGCGCCGGCGGCCCTTACGGCTGCAAGGACGCGCTGCGCCAGCAGCTCCGCTCGGCGCGAGAGGTGAGCGGCCCTGCCTGGCCCCCGGTCGGACGGGACACCGTCTGTAAGAGAGGGAAATTCAGACCTGCTGGGATCGCTGGCCGTGTAGTCCCAGAGTCCCGGATTCAACAGTTTGCATGTCTTTCCTCGGACCGACCCTTTTCCCCCTGGGCAGCTCCTCGTGGTAGGGGATAGGGGGAGGAGCCTCGGTCCCGAAGAAGGCAGTTGTTCCAACTCCAAACACATCTAGGAGGGAGGGAGGGACCAGGAATACTGCCAGTTCCAAATTTTAGTTAAACTAGAGTGCCAATCTTCCTGGCTGTCAGCCAACACCAGATCCTACTTTAAGGAGCTTCTTAGGAGATGCATTACCAAAGAAAAGAGTTCCTGAAAGGTACTCTCCAGAGACTAACTATGGGACATTAGTAGTCAATTATTACTACTTCCTTGCATCTTATGTTGTAGATAGCAGATTAAATACAAAAGCGGCGAAGTCAGAGCCCTGCCCTTTTCTCTCCTGTAAGACGGGGCGGGGAAAGTTGCGCCTGTGAATGGGGCAGGAGATTTGTTTTGCACAGGCTGGGTCTGCTCCAGTTTGCATGGCTCCAGATATTCCTGCATTCGTTTGGCCTCTCTGTTCATACTGGAGTTTGGTTCTATTGTCTTTCTCTTGGCATGGCATGATATTGGGGTGCAGCCAGAACGAAGCTGGAGCAGGGTGCTGGGATTAAAGGAAGAAGAATACAGCAGATAAGACGTGGCGGCAGACAACTTGGTCCAGACTCCAGAGCCGTGGTTAGCTTTATTGCTCATTGGCAGTGCCCAGTTTCTAGGCTGGCTGCCTGTGCCAGAGACATGGCAGATAAACCCCCAGGCCGTGGTAAGACTTGGTGGGGCTGGGACCTGAGCGTGTCTGCCTGTGTGTGAAGGTATCTGTGCATTATGTCTGGTTGAAATAGCCAAGTCTAGGAATAAGCCCCAGCTCTCACCTGTGTTCCTGATGTCTTTGCACGTCTTTCCTCCGACCAACCCTTTTCCCCCTGGACCAACCCTTTCCTCCCTGGGCCGCTCCTTGTTGTTGTAGGGGATAGGGGGAGGAGCCTTGGTCCCAAATTGTTCCAACTCCAAACACTTACATCTAGGAGGGAGGGAAGGAACAGCTCTCACCTGTGTTCCTGATGTGCTTTACCTGACCTGGGGGTTGCAGTGGTGGTGGCTGCAGTGACCTAGTGCCTTGCCTTTGGGGAAGTAGATGTGGGCTGCAGCTAGGGTGGTGGCAGTCCTTTGGTGCTTTGGGTGGGTTGAGGGTCCTTTTGGTGCGCGGACATTTTACTTGTGGGTTCAATGAGATTAAAAAGATGGAAAGGGCAGAATTGTGGGGTAGGTGTGCGTTCCCAAAACTTACCTTCAGGAGGACTTGAATACTTGGAACTTGAGAAAAGTTAAGGAACAGGACTCCATAAACTGAGAGGTGGATCACACTAGCCTTTTGCTCAGCCTCCAATTTTAATAGTAGTGAAAGGTCTAGAGGCCAGAGGGAAACACCATTTGTAAACTCACTTTCTAGCCTTCGAAGGAGTGGGGCCTGGAACTTGGACTCTGCCCCATCCTGTGCACATTTTGTATTAAATTTCTGGACAGAGCCTCCTGTCCTGTTCTTTCCCGTAGTCTAGCTATCTACCCACTCTTCCCTCTGAAATTCTGTATTTGGAACCTGGGCAATTTTAACTGAGAAAGGTGGTACATTACCTTTAAATCCACCTGCCAAATTACTTAATTCAGTGCCTACTGTGTATCAGATACCACCAGGAGCTGGGGCTCTCAGGGAGGGCACGATTTTTGCCTGCACTTGGAAGTGGATAGTCTGCTGGTGGGAAGCATTGAGGAGGCTGCTGAAGGAAGTCTCCTGAGTGGCACTGGCATCAGAGCCAAGTGGGATTTGCCAGCCTAGCAGACAGGGATTTTTTTTTTTTTATTAGTTTGGATGGGCATTAATGCTACCAAATTGGAATACAGGAAGGAGAATAAAGCTGAGGGCAAACCTGTTTGACACAATGCTGAAATTGAGGTCCCTTTTGTTTAAAAAATAGCCTTGTCCCATCTACTCTGGCGGGAGGCTGTGGCAGGAGGATCACTTGAACTCAGGAGTTCAAGGCTTTGGTGCACTGTGACCTCTTGTGAATAGCCACTGCACTCCAGCCTAGGCAACATAGCAAGACTCTATCTCTTCCTTTAGGAAAAAAAAAAAAGGAATGCTTTCTATTTGCCAGGCACTGTTCTAAGTAATCTGGAGGTAGGTGCAAGTATTATCTCTGTTTTTCAGATGATAGAACTGAGGCTTAGAGAAGTAGTTACCCCGAGGTTCTGCAGCTAGGGAATGGAGGAGCCAGGACTCAAATTGAAGCACAGAGTCTCTGAAACACTGTTAGCCACCATGCTGTGCTATGTGCCGGGTCAAGGGCCTGTGCTCAGGTAGACAGAGGCATGCATAGGGGTGGGGAGAGGTAATAGACAGCAGATCTAGTGGCTGGCCAGGTGCTACCTCTCTGTAAATTGTGTACACAGGAGTGACTGTGTCACCCTGACCAGCATCCTTTGAAGTGAAGTACCTGTAGTAGTGAGGACCGTGAAGGTGTGGGTCTCAGGCTGTTTTGGGAATGAAATGAGAAGGCCTGTTCTGATGGCAAAGGTCCTTAAGAGTGATGTGATTGAGCACTTTTAATGGGATATTTTCTGTGCCCTTAACCTGAATTTTCTCTTAACTCTACCAACTCTGGGAGGAGGTCACAATTAAGAAGAGACCAGACACAGAGATGTTAAGTAACTTGTCCCAGGTCATACAGTTGATAAGGGCACTCCAAGTCCACCCAGCTCCAGCTCTCAAGCTCCCACTCTCAGTCCCACCCTACACAGCCTCCCTGCCATGAGGAAGGATCAGAGCTTTGGTAGTTTTCAACAGTCTGAAGATTTTTAACAGTTTAAGATTTGGACTGTTAATTTCTATGTTGCATATCCTGTAAACACAGAGAAGGTGTTCCTGGGGTTTATAATTTTTGTAAATTAGCATATTCTCTCCTCTCCCCGGAAAGATAGAACCTGGAACATAGGAAGTACATGGGAGTCTTTTGGTAGTGAATGAAGGGACTTTGAATTCCAAATGGAAAGGGTCTCACAGATTTACCAAGGGATTGGGCTAGGTTGTGGTGGAGCAGGGTCAGACCTGAGTGTGTCCCATGAAGCTTTATTTGCCCTCACTGAGGAGCTCTGAGGACCAACTTGCATCTACAGTAGTGTCTCTGGAAGGAGCCAGGGTACAAGCCTCCATGACCGGTGTATAGTAGACACAGGGGCCAGGGTCACTTGGTAAATGGCAGCCTGATTGGATGGTTCTGGGGTGGGTGTTACCCAGCTGCTCTCTGGCCACACAGAATCACCCAGCGTGTCTGACACATGATATATGCTCAATAAATACTGTAGAGGCCTATTATCTGCACCTTTGTTCATTCAGTTCACACTTTTGAAGAGAAGGAACGGGGGAGGGGCGAAAGGGAGGAGAAAGGTGGCAAAACAAAATAGTTCAGGTGATTCTGAGCATGGCTGGGATATAGCTGACAACTTTCCTGTTGTCAGCTGAACTTAACCGCAGCTAGAGGAAATAATGGCTTTGGACCTTTCGAGAGCCTCCCCATTCTTGCTTTCTAAGGGATTTTCAGATAATTTTGAGCTAGACCGGACTTTTCCCTTACACACGTGCTCTAGATCAACCCTTATACTACTGTCAACTGTTGGGTTAGCTCCTTGCCTCTGTTGCGTGTCAGTGGGTGTCTGGCTGGGCTGAGACCCCTGCCTGCCGGTGCCACATGGTCTCCTTCACATCTCTCCAGTGATGTGCTCCCGATTTGGCCATCCTGCTATTCCTGGTTTGTGAATGGGAGTTCAGAGACAAAGCTCATCTCACCAGGGAGTTCTGCACACCTCAGAGCCATCATTCTCACCTATTCCCTATGTATGCTCTGGTGTTCCCCAAAGGCCACTTTTGCTGTGACCTCACCCTTGGGCATCCTCTTGATAATCCAAGCCTTAGTAGTGGCGATCATTTCATTGCTGAAAAGTCCATCCTACCAGATGAGTAGCAGCTGAGGAATCTGCAGGAGGCCCTTGGTGTGCGTATGATGTATCTGAATTTAGGCTTCCCCAGTCTTTCTTGCTCAACTCTCTTCTGCATTACAGTAGAACCTGTGCGGTGTGATCAGTTCCTGTTCCAGATGCTCGCATTAACCCTAAGCAGGGGTTCTCACCCTCACCACTGTGGCCATTTTGGGTTGGGGAATTCTTTGTCGGGGGGGGGGGGGGCAGTCCTGTGCATTGTAGGCTCCTGCTCACTAGCTGTTCGTAGTACCCCTCCCCCTAAGAAATCATGACATTGGAAAATGTCTCCAGAGGTGGGAGTGGGGAGTTATTGTTATTAAGGTCGCATTAAGTCACACAGTTTTTGTTTGGGATGATGAAAAAGTTGTGGGAATAGTAGTTATGTTTGTATAACATTGTGAATGTAATTCACATCTCTGAATTATACACTTAACAATTAAGATGGCAAATTTATATTATATGTTATATATTTTGCCACAATAAAACACGTCTCCAGAATTTTAGAATTTTTTAGCCCTTTTTTTAAAGTGGTAACATATGTATAACAGACTTTACCACTTAACCATTTTTAAGTGTACAGTTCAGTGGCATTAAGCACATTCACACTTTTATACAGCTGTCACCATCAACCAGCTCTAGAACTTTGTCATCTTATCAAAGTGAAACTCTGTGCCCATTAAACACTACAGGGTATCCTAAAGGTTGCCATATGTAGAGGAAATGGGAAATTATAGCTAAATGTAACTTTATTTACAAAATATTCATTACAGGGCTCAGCATGTGTAGCTCAGTGGGTAGGGCACCGACCACATGCACAAGGCAGGCAGGTTCTTGATGCTTTGCCCGTCCTTTTCACAAGCCCCTCCTCCTAT